TACACATTGTTGTGGCTAGGTGGTTTGGAATGAGTCTGGTGTACATACAATATATATATATATATATATATATACACACACACATATATATATACGTTAAATATTTTAAACATTAATCGGTTTAATGTGGGAATATTAAATTAATATTGGTTATTTTTTTTATTTTATGAATTTGTATTAAATATTTAATTAATTTAAATAGATTCAGTAAGAATTGAAAGGCATGATTTAAGTTTGCATGCTAAGTATGGAATTTAATTAATTTAATAGAATAAATTAATTAGATTTAAATAAATTATTTTAATCAATTGCTTAGATTTAAATTAATTTAATTAGAACAGGGAGATGTACAATTTAGTTGAGATGCATGTTAATTTCTTGTGATGTAGATTAAATACATGCTACTTAGAATTGATATTTTTGCCCAAGTAAATGCAAAGGATGTGTATGATTTATATCATATTTATTTGGATTATTATATGTAAACATTATTGACATTATCCTTGGATTTGAAACTTATATTTGATTATGATATGGATTAATGCACCATTATGGGCTGGGGGCATATTAGGGACGGATTAACTTAAGAGTTAAGTCCTACCTATTTTTAATAAGGAAATGGATTAACCACAGTGTTAAGTCCTACTTATTCGTGTCAGGTCAACGGAATAGTTGGATGACATAGTATTGAAATAATAATTGGATAATTTATTTTGATGGTTGCATATGACGGATTTTACATATAGAATTATACGCCATGATATGAGTTTGAGTCTCATGATCAGTAATTAGGGTGCGTATATCGCCAGGGATGTGTAGCTAGATATAGTGTAGTTGTGTACCCTAGTAGGTCTAGGTACTCATGCCCACTATATGTGCGTTTTGCATGTTGTCTACTATTCAGGTTGAGACAACTCTATAGTCTAGTGAGATTCCTTTAGTGTGTATATATCTATATATGGACTATTTAGTTATTGTTGAATTAATTAGGATGTGTATGTGTATCGGGTCTCTATTTGGGAAGTAGTGGATTAGAACTTGTTTGTGGGCCTGACCCACCATTATTTTTCAGGTGTTCGTCAGTTCTAGTCTTAAAGATTGTTCATGCCGAACAGAAATAGTCATTCACTCTTCTGACTCTACATAGGACTCTTCTTCATGGTTAAATTATTAGTTTTATTTCAGTTCAGTTATTTCAGTTAGGATATTATTAGGGGTCCACAATATGGATTCCCGAGTTGTAGTTTAATTAATTACTAGCATCCGAGAATTGGAAGATTTTATTATTGGATTTTTAATTATTATTTATTTGAGGATTTTAAAATTGGGATTTATTATATAGTTTCCTTCAGCTTATTATTTATTTATTTATTATTCTTTTTGTATTCAAATACTTGTTTAAATATTAATTGTTTGGTATCCCTTATATTCTGTTCTCGGACTTAATCACCCGTGGCTCTAGAATCGAGGGGTATCTAATTGCTCTTGCTGAGGAGGTCGAATGGCTTCGGGGTTTTATTGGAGATAGTCTCAAGCTTCAGGCCAAGCTTAGGGAAAAGAACACTAAGCTTAGTGACATCATCATCAATATTAATCATGCATTAATGCTGTTGGACGAATTATCAAATAAGGATGCATAACCACCACCTACAGAGGTCCAAGAGCCACCACCACAGGGGCAAGGCTCCCCTTTCCACCACCATAACTTGGAGGTTAATAGGGTCCCATATGCAAATTTGAATTTGAATTCAAACTCAATGGTAGTCACTTCAGGTACACCTCTCTTACACACTTTTCTTGCTATGTCAACTACACTTTCTTCTTTAGGTAACAAGTTAGTCACACAACCCTTACCTGACCCTAACATCAACACTTCCTTTCCTAAACCTACTACCACTTTCCACTATGACCCTACTTTTGTATCTACCCTGCTACTAGCCCATACACCCCAAGCCTGCTCACACACCAATTCTACCACTGAAGCACTAAACTGTCCAATCAGTCAACCCCCAATTTCCTCCCCAACGTGGGCTAACATTACCAAAGAACAAGCCAGATTACCATTGGATTTTATACAGCATTCCCCACCAAATGATGGTATCATATCACCACCCGTTGAGATTGAAGCAGTGGGATTATCCCATCTCAAAACAAGCTTACTTGGCTACTTTGTCCATAAACCCCTACCCTTTGGAATGGTCAAGGATCTATCCAACTTTCTCTGGTCTGATAGGGGCCTCCTCAAAGTTACTAGCTCAAAGAAAGGCTTGTTTGAATTCCATTTTTCCACAACTGACCAGTGCAATACAATTCTAGCAGAGGGCCCTTAGTTCCTAGCCAATAAACCAATCATCCTCAACCACTAGAAGCCATGTTTCCGTAAAGCAAAGCATTCTTTTATCCCAATCTGGATAATGTTTTTTTGGCCTGCCATTGCACTTTTAGACTAAGCCTAGTCTTAGCTATATTTTAAGCTTCATTGGTGTCCCTCTTTTGCAGATCCAATCACTGTTTCTAAGCAAAAAATAAGATTTGCCAAAGTCTGTGTTGAAATAAATACAACCTCTGACCTACCCTCAATCCTTAAGTTGCACCAGAGCTCGAGGAATACCACAAATGTTATTGTTGAATACTTGAACTGCACTGCGATCTGTTATTCTTGCAATTGCTTTGGCCACTCATCAAAATCATGCCATGCCATGTTTCCCCCTGAAAAAAAATCCCAACCCTCTTTAGAATGGAAAGTAATCCCATACAAGAGACCTCCAAAAACCAATCAACTGTCTTCACCTCCAATGAACACCATTGCATTAACTGATTCATCATCACCTTCCCATACTACATTTGGCTCCCAACAGGGGCAAAATATTATCACACACTACTTTAAGCCTACAGACAGCCTTAAGGTTGACCTAAGCTCTTACAATCCTACCATCTTATCCCCTGAAATCATCCCAGACTCTATCACTAAAAGGGGTGAAACCTCACTGAACTACAATGAGCTGAGCTAGCAACTCCTTCCTGCTGAGGATGAATTTCCAGCCTCTCTGAATATGAATCAACCACCAATCTTCCCATTACCCTGGACAAAGGTAAGACCAAGAAAGGATGCTCATTCAAAAGAAAGCATTCCAAGAGAATCTCTCTTAGAGGGAACATTTTCCCAAAAGGCAGACTTCTCAAATGGTAGTTATTGCCATTTGGAATATCAGGGGCTTGAATAGCACCCTGAAACAAGATAAAGTTAAGTATCTTATTTCAAAAAATAGAGCAGATATTGCTGCCATTCCTGAAACCAAGGTTCAACCAGCCAATGTTGACAGAGTTTACAATTACATTGCTAGGCACTGGAAGCTAGCAAATAACTATAGCCATTCTTCTTTGGGAAGGATCTGGATCCTTTGGAATCCCCATGTTGTTGATTTACAAATCCTTCAATGCACCAGACAGGCTATACACTGCCATGTAACCATTCTAAATTGCACGTCCACATTTTTCTCTTTTTTCATTTATACTGCAAATAAAGCTTCAGAAAGGGAAAATCTCTAGGATGATATTATTAAACAATCATCTACCATTTCTTCATCCCCTTGGATCCTTGGAGGGGACTTAATACCATCAAATCTACATTTGAGGACTATGGAGGCTCAGGGAAGACAACTAAATCAATGGTGGACTTTAGGAAATGCCTATATACATCTAACCTTGAGGACCTTCATTTTTCAGGGATTCTTCACTCTTGGTCAAACAAAAGTCCTGGTGTTTTCAACATCTCTAGGAAACTTGATAGGGTCCTTATTAATGACACTTGGAGCCACTCATTTCCCTTCTCCCATTACAACTTCCTTCCCCCTAGAGTTTCTGACCATAGTGCCATGATCATTAACCTTGGCAACCCTAAGCCTCAGAGAAGAATCCCATTTAGGTACTTCAACTGTTGGAGTGACCATGATGATTTCATCTCCTTAGTGCAGCTTCACTGGAATAACCATATTGAGGGACACACAATGTTCCAAGTGGTATCAAAATTGAAGAGCCTCAAGCAACCACTTAAATCAAAGTTTTCAAGACCTCTAAGTGCATTACAGAATGATGTTTTAATGGCCAAAGTAGCTCTCTCTAGCTGCCAGCTTACTTTGGATGCTACTCTTGATGACCATACCCTAAGAGACCAAGAAAAATTACTTTTGACATCCTACACATCACTAAAACTCACTGAATAGCAAGTCTGCAGACAGAAATCAAGAGTGCAATGGCTTAAGGGGGGGACTTAAACTCCTCTTTCTTCTTCAAGTCCATTGCTTCCAGACAAAACAGAAATAAAATAGCTTCTCTCTCAACCCATAATGGAGCATTTCTTAACACACAACCAGCCATCAAAAATGAAATCATCTCACACTTTCAAGGTTGCCTTGGCATGAACCCATACACCAATTTTGACTTGGATCAATTGCACTCTTTGATTACTCTCTGTCTTCTTGCTTCCTTCACTAAGTCCTTATGCTCCATTCCTACAGCCACTGAAATTCAGCAATGTATGTTCTCACTCAGTTGCGACAAAGCTCCAGGGCCAGATGGTTACAATGCCCATTTTTTTCCAAAAAGCATGGCCAATTATAAGTCAAGATGTCACAAGTGCTATCACTCAGTTCTTTACCACAGGAAAGTTGCTTAAAGAGGATAATTCTATCTCCATCTCCCTTGTCCCTAAGGTCCCTAACCCCGCCACTATCATTGACTTTAAACCAATCTTCTGCTGCTCTACTAAATACAAATGTATATCTAAACTCCTTATAAACAAGCTCAACCCCACCTTTCCCCACATCATTGACTATGCTCAGTCAGGCTTCATTCAAGGTAGGCAAATTGATGACAGTATTTTACTTGCATAAGAGTTACTCAATGGCTATCACAAACAATCAAATTCACCTAGGTGTACCCTAAAGATTGATCTCAGAAGGGCCTTTGACTCAGTTTCATGGACCTTCCTCCTACAATCAATGAAGCTGATGGGTTTCCGACATCTATTCATTCACTGGATCCAAACCTGCATCACTACACCATCATTTACCATTTCCATCAATAGAGAGTTCAATAGTTTCTTTAACAGTGTCAAGGGGTTGAGACAAGGTGACCCCTTGTCTCCATTTCTTTTTGTGATTGTTATGCAGGTTTTCTTATTGCTCCTGAACAAGTGCACAACTAGCATGCCATTTAAACATCACTGGAGGTGCAAGGAATTGAAGCTCACTCACCTTATATTTGCTGACGACCTTATGGTCTTCTCACATGCAAGCATTCCATCCCTCATAACAATCAAGCATGCTAGCGACTCATTCTCTTCACTCTTTGGATTATACATCAACCATAGCAAAAGTCAGTGTTTCATTACAGGTGTTAATGAGCAAATGCAAAGCAGTATATTTTCTCTACTTGGATTTCAGGAAGGGACATTACCTGTGAAATATCTTGGAGTTCCATTGATCACCTCCATGTTGAAAGCAAATGATTGCAGAGTGCTGATTGAAAATATTTGCAATAGAATCAATCACTGGACTAACAAAGATCTTTCTTTTATGGTAGACTATAGCTTATTAAAATAGTTCTTTTCTCCACTCAGCTATATTGGAGCCCAAACTTCATCTTGCCAATGAGCATCATTAATGAAATGAACAGCATTTTTAGGTCATTTCTCTGGTCTGGACCTTCATTAAAGAAGACAGGTTCCAAGGTGGCATGGGATCTCTACTGCCTTTCTAAAAGGGCTGGTGGTCTTGGCATCTCCAACCTTGCTCTTTGGAATGAGGTAGATGTCATGAAGCACTTCTGGAATATCATTAGCTCCAAGCAAATGATTTGGGTAAAGTAGATCAACATATTCTTGCTCAAGGGAAGAAACATTTGGGAAGTTAAAGTGCCTAGTCAATGCTCTTGGAGTTGGAGAAGGCTATTATCTCTTAGAACAGCTATTAAGCCCCTTGTCAAACTTGAAATTGGCAATGGAACAAGTGCCAATTTCTGGTTTGACAACTGGTGCAGCCTTGGCCCTCTTTACCTCCTTGTCTCCTCACAACAGTTAAGTGATTCTTCCATCAACACTAAAACAAAACTGTCCTCCTTTATATCCAACTCCATGTGGTAATTCCCACCAGCCATCACCAATTTACTTCCACAGTTACAGTAGATCAACAATGTCCCATTGCCATGCCCAAACATGGATGACAAAGTTATTTGGTTACCTTCACCCACCAGAGCATTCTCAATTGCAATGATAATGAAGCACTTCAACAGCCACCTTCCTAACTTGCCTTAGACACACTTAGTTTGGTCCAAATACTCAATACCCAAGCACTCATTCACTTTGTAGGTAGCCATATAGCAAAAACTCCCAACCCTAAACAGAAGGTGCACAACCCACATCAATGCCTCACTTTCAGCCTCTGTAACTCCCAACTTGAGAACCTCAACCACCTGTTCTTTGAATGTGACTTCACAAAACCCTTATGGACATTTATCCAATCTAAATGTGGGTTCCACATTAAACCATCCTTATGGCCTAACCTTATTAACTAGGCTTTACATCATTGGCGTAGCAACTCAGGATTCTACAACAGCTCAACCTCAAAGCTCGCTCTGGCTGCTCTGGTCTACAACATATGGATGGAGCGCAATAGAATCATCTTTCAGAGGAAGTTTCAGTATCAAAACACTCTGCTACATCAAACATTGGACATAATCAGGATGAAACTCATCTCCTCTGCAGTCACGGACTCTCCATCTACAAGGCGTGTCAACGAGGAATGGGACCTTCCTTCTTCAATTATTCGGCCGCCGGCCAAACCTCCTGACCGAATTTGAAGGGGATTTGGGGAGTTCATATCTTCCATGATCACTTTGTATTGGGCTGTTTAGGCTGTGGGCCTGTTTCTTTTGGGCTGTCTCTTGCTTGGTTAGCCTAGGCTAACTTCTATGTACAACCTTTCCTTTGTCAATATATTTATCTTTACCTTTCAAAAAAAAAAGAAAAAAAAAAAAAGAGCTCATTCTAAGTAGAAGAAGATATTGTGAATTTGTGAAGGATACCTAAAACTTTAAACTCAATATATATATTTTTTCTTGTGTAAAATGATTATATTATATGAGAATGAGATTGTTGAGTAATTAAATAGCATAATTTTATTTTTTATTTTATTTTATTTTATTTATTTATTATTTATTATTTATTATTTTTTGGAATATTAACAATCAAACAATTTTTTCAAGACCTATGGCAGTGAATTAATTATTTTGCTATAAAAATTATAATAATTTTTTACTTGATTTTAATTTTAACCAATTTCAATTAATTAAATGATTAATTATTATATTTTCAAATTCAAATATTAATTAATAAATCCCAATCAATCAATTACCATACCACAAGTTTTAATATAACCCGAGAGGAACATGATTTAATTATGTTTAAATAGAGTAAAAGGGATTCATGAATAACTTCTAGTGGTCAATGTCGTGCAATTTGATTTTTGTAAGCAACCATTTTGCTGCACATCACAAGAAAACCACATTTATTCCTTGACTACTTTTATTATTCCTTTTACCAACAATGTCAACCTTATTACTCAAATGGATTAATTAAAAATGGTCCCATCTAACCCTATATATACATAAGACACACATATATATATAGATATATAGTTACATGATAAGTCATTTCAAGATAGATTACGCGCATGTAACAAGACTCTCGTCTCTCTCTCACACACAATGCTGGTTATCCATGGCAGCAGCTGTATGTCACCACCGACCAGTCAAAGCAGGCGTTATTTGTGATGGTCGGTTGATCTGCTTCCTCAATATAATTTGAGGTCTTAAAAGGAGAAAAATATAGAAGTGACCTAATTACTGAAAATATATATATATATATATATATAAGTGATATTTTAATATATAATATATTAACAGTAAATAATAGTTAATATGAGTAATGTTTTCTTCTTTAAAAATCCTTCATTTTTTTTTTTGTGCTCAGAATCTTAGATGGATAAAATATAAATTGTAATGAGTAGAGAAGAAAAAAATAGTAATAAATTGCATAATAATTATATATGCAAATGAATATGATAACCTCTATCTCCCTAAAATCCTACCCCTATTCTATTTCCAATTGTTTGGTACCAAAGCTGTGCACAACTATGACGTCATCAAGTTAATTAAGAAAATAAGGACAATACTTAGCTACTCATCCGTGAGTAACTTCACCCTATTCGCCTCTTGTGTGTTTCAATAACAAAATCAACAAAATAATAAAAAAGTCATGTACGTTTATTCAATGGTTGATCCGAAAAAGAGGGCGTTTATTTTGTTATTAAATGTGATGTGTTATTTTATTATTAGAACACATAAGGGGTGACTGGTGAGTACACTCACCCGTGAATAGTAAAGTATTATCCGAAAATAATATATATTGAATGCAAGAATATAGTTTTTGATGGTATATGGAGATAGTAAATGATCTAATTAACAATAAATATATAAATAAATTCACCAAATAAAAATAAGAAGCCCCCAAAACGATCCATAAGTGTGTATACACACACACACACTTTATCATCATTGCTTTGAATCTTTATATCATTATCCAATATTCGCGGGTTAAGCTAATTGATAGAGGATGCTTTTAAGCACTAGAAGAAACAAAAAGTAACAAACAATCAAAAGAAAACAACCATGCTTTTAGTCCTTGACTAGTATTATATATGCACCGTCTTAGTTTTCACGCATTTTATGCTTTGTATTGCATCTGATCTGCTTGTTCTATCCTTATACGAGCTCTTGTATATTCTTCTTTTGTTTATTTATATAGACCTTACCCATCTAAAAAAAAAGTGAATACATCGAAAAGGTGCCCACACCCATTCCAAAATTGCTTAGGAAGAGTTTGGATCCGCTTGAATCAGTTTTCACTTTTTAATTTTAGAGAATAGTGAAAACATTTTAAATTTTTTGTTGAGATTCAAAATTTGTTTGGTTGAGAAGATTACATAATAATAGTTTTTAAATAACAAAAACTCCGAAAATCCATTTAGTTGTAAAAGAGAAGCATGACTTATATATTTAAGGTTAAAGTAAAAATAATACATGTGTAACTTCTAGTGTCACACAATTTATTTTCTCTAAGCAGTCACTTTTAATAACAGAATCATCTTGATAGATAAAAGATACTACATCAAAGAAGATAAATCCCAATGTAGTCAAGATTGGATAATTTCAAAGAGTCGTGAATATATATGTACCTAAGACCTAAGAAAATCAAATTTATGAGATCAAGGGAAAAATAAATCACAAGAAAATAAAACAATACACACACAAACGAGACAAAAGATTTACGTGATTCAGATATGCCCACGTCTACAGAGAAAAGACAAAATAATATTTCACTGTAAAAATAAAAAATACAAGGTAAAGTTAACCCCACCCAATTTTCATTTACACCCAAACTCTTTCACACTTTTAAAATACTGATATTGAGCAAACACACACAATTTCGAAAGATTTTGAATGAGATACCCGGCTATTTATAACCAAAGAAATACTTGCTGGGCAAGCATATTGAAGATGGTGACACGAGCTGCTTGTGCACGCCAATTCAATGATTCATCATCATCAAGTCATATTGCTTCCTTTATTTCCAAGATCAGACAACTAGTTAATGATATGTCTGAGTCATACATATATTTGACCAAGACTAGTTGCCAAGTGGTGCATGCATAAAAACAACTTGTAAATGGGTTTTTCGAGAACGAGAATGGGTTGGAATATACAACTTGAACTTGAATACGGATACTCGTTCAACAAGAATTAAGAAGGTGCAAGCTGGCACCATCATATTGATCCACATCATTTAACAAATTGTTTATTTACTAACTTTTCGACAGTTACAAGCATTGTCTAGAAAGTCTGTGCTCGGTGGTATCTTTTGCTCTTCATCACTAGCTCTTGCCACCTTTTCAACAGTTACAAGCATTGTCTAGAAAGTCTGAAAAATGCATGGCTCAAAACATTTCTAGTTTGTCAAATTGGTAACTATATATTTCACAACATTCCATGATAAACTATCTTTTATTGAAGGAGAAGATTTAGCTGGCTTCATTGACGAATCTGTCGCTGAACCAACAAAATTTATTACTATAGATGGCAAGGATGAGTCCATCAATCCTAACCTTAGTGAAATGGAGAAAGTTGAATCGAATGTTAAAGTTATGGTTAAATGGAACTATATGTCTGAGGAGGTCCTTAGCCTTGTTCTCGGTGACAGCTAAAGAAGTTTGGAGCTACCTAGAACAGGTCGAGAACTACATCTTCAACGACTGCTGCAACTGATTCGTAAAGGTACGAGTCAATCAATGATTATATCCAAAAGTTTAAAACAACTTGTGATGATCTTGCAGCCATTCAAATCCCATCTCTGATTAAGACTAGGTAGTTTTTTGACGTCTATGATCGCAAAACCCCCCACTGCCATCTTATGCATAAATTGTTGCAGCCTTATATAGTTCGTCATGAACTAAGACTTCAAGCTTATATATGAAACAACCCACTGCACAAACTCAAATGTTGCTTTCTTGACCAATCGTTCTTCAGTAAAAAGAATGGTCAATCAAATGAAAGCGGGAGGAATTTCAATAAAGGCTTCAATTCAAACAACAAGGGACAGCAAAGTCAAGCATTTGAATTCAAATGCTAGACAACATGAGCAGCAAAGAAACATCTCTCCTCAACAAGCACAAAGGAAATCCTACAGGACAATGGAATACAAGGATGCCTATGCAAGTCGACAAGCAAAAGCATCCAAATTCTAAATACGGTATTACCATTTACCAATCAATGTCGTCCGATTTGAATATAAGGCTAAATCCAATGCTTCAAAGAAGTCATATGTAAACATCATATATAATAGATCCTGAATAATACAAAAGCAAAACATAAGTAATACATTGTGTCTATATAAAAGTCTTCATCCAATTTGAATATAAAGCTAAAGCCAATGCTTCAAAGAAGTCATGTAAATATCAAAGATAATAGATCCTGAATATAACTAAGCAAAACATAAGTAACACATTATTAGGTCTATATACAAGTCTTCAACTTCAGAACATTTTCTCTTCATCATCTTTTTCCGCTTCCACCTTTCAAATATGGTCGCCATGCACCTATTGATTTAAGCACAAATGAAAATGAAAAATATCAGACTGATCCAAATCTAGTTATTAACTCTTATCTAATTAATAACAAGTGTTAAAATTAAAATTTTCTAATATAGAGTTGAAATACCATTTTTTTCAGTTTTTGAGATACAAAATTAACTCCTACACTCTCTATATATAATAGACATATGATATCCAGATGTTTATCTGTTAATCTCTCCTTCATGTTGTAACTCTCATATTATACGTCCCCTCTATATGATATTCAGATCTTTTAAGTGTGGAATTTATGGAGTACAAAAGAAAGAGAGAGAGAGAGATGAAAAGTGTGAGAAAGAAGAGAAGCAGAAGAACTAATTGAAGAAGAATCAAAACCACATAATTTTCACCTTATTGGTTATAACTTTCTCACTATTTCTTTCAAGATAATTATCTGATGATCTCTCCTTCAGGTTGTAACTCTCATATTATATACGTACCCTCTATTATCTGCAACTTATTTCAGATTTCTTATCGGACAACAATGGAACAAATACAAAGGAAATGACAGAATTTTTGTAGATGTAACAACCCTAGTTTATTAGCGTGCTAGAGATTCTTGGAAAATACGAGCCTCTCATTCAAGTACTCAAGGATATCTCCTCCTCCTACAGT